GAAATAATTGATAGATTTCCAGTAATTTATAACACAATAACTGGAATTTCGTATTAATACCCGTATTTTTATATTTTAAACACCCCCACTCTTTCCGGTCTCTCTATAAACAGAGTTGAGTAGCCTACTTTGATCCATTAAAAAAACAACAATATATAAGCATTGTGCCCAACAAATAAATAATATATTTAAAGAGAGGAATGACTATACATCTTTTAGTATGGACATAGATAAATTTTGATTAAGCCCTGTATCTTTAGTTTAGTGTAGTTCAGTCCCCCCTTCACTTCAACTTGAATCTTATTTTGTAAAGTTAAGCAAATATGAATGTGCCAGAAAATTATTTGCATATTTGAAAAGAGCAATCAGTTATACTTAACATGGTATCTGGAATTTCGTATTTAGATCAGTATTTTTACTTGAATACCCCTTTAATAGTGTGATATTTATTGGATTTGAATTATGAAAATACGATTGTACCAGAAAACTATTTACATATTTACAAACAGAAATTAATGTGATTTTTACTAATATGAAACATGACACTTGAAATTTCGTATTTGGACATTGCACCCCCCCCCACCCCCTCCCGTAATCATCATAAAGTGCCATCCAAAGTGTCAAGGTGAGTAAATTTTTATTGTGTGCTAGGCTGATTTCCTGTTATAGTGTCGTGAATATCCTTGTTCTGGCTTATAGTGTGCCAGGTTTCCGTATATGTTAATAAGTCACGTGATATCCTAAATTTGCATATGCAAGTTAATGCTGTGCGAAACATGCTATGTAGAATGCGTGAAGGACAAATGGGATGTGGCAGAGAGCAAATGTAAAATGTAATGAGAGAAATGTAAAATGTAGACACGTCACAAAAAGCATTTTCCCTCAAAACATTTGTCATTTAACACTTGACGTTTTACATTTAACTCTTGCCTTAGATGTATTTTGACTTTATCAATATCGGTATTAGGACTTTGTACATTGTACTTTTTACATATAATCAATGGAAACGACATTGTCGCAGAGCATTTAATATTGGCAGCGATACCCTTCCATAATATACGTTTTAACTATGATATTACGAGTCGGACAAATGTGTTTCTGTGGCTTCAAGGAGTTTACCAAACGTTGGCACCAAATAACCTGCTCTAAGCAGACCTTTGCTTGACTGTTGGGTGACTAAGAGAATCTAGGGTTATTTTAAATATGATATTATTCAGAATTAGTTACATTTATTTTCTTGGCGAGAGTGATAATGCCCCTCTTTTAAGACGATTCTTGCCTAAGACGCGGCATCCATTCATTGGCTAGAAGGTCGAGTCAATTGAAAACTAAATTTTAACAGATGTTGTTAGACTGCACTATTGTGCTGTAAATGTTAACTTCATAAATAAAAATACAAAAAAAGAAGCCAAAGGACAGTCATATTTCTTGGGAATGTCTGAATAGAATCGCCTGAACGCGGTCAATTGATTATATATATCTCTTGACTTGGGTAATAATACGCGTTTTTAAAATTGTTACTCTCTAAATGGGAATGATTTGTGTCAGGAAATTGAAACCCCTCCTTCTAATCTGTGCACATATATAGAGTACCACAGTTTAACGTACATTATCCAATAAGCGCTCCTTCTTCTATATAATGTCATTCACCCTTTCCGTGTGGTTATGACAATATTATTATGTTGATAGATTGTGCCTTAGGATTACGACGGCATATAGGAATATATCTGGATGTCAGATCAATTAATAAGAGAGAGAGAGAGATGGAGAGAGAGAGAGAGATGGGGTTTTATTTCCACTCGACACTAACTAGATCATCTTGGGACTAACATATGGTACAATTTTATTTCAATAATTCGCTTGGGAGGAGACCGGAGGACCCACAGAAAACCCACGAGGTTGGACAGGCAACCCAACTCCTTGCCACGTGCAAGTAGGTAATCGAAACCACACCACTCGACTCAATAATGGACCTTATGATCCTACGTGTACGCGTTAACCATTCGACCACCCATCCCCTAATTAATACAGTAATTGTTAGCTAAGTGAAATAAGAAGTGGTATCTCATGTTACATTATGATGTAACGTACTCATTTTAATACAGATTTGTGCTGTCTTGCTTTGTAAAAATCACAATGTGAAAAGTCATTAAGACAAGATTTGTTAGCCCCAAAGTAAATTATACAAATAGTGCTTCAGAAGCCTTAAAATGCTGTAGTGATGATAACATGAAAATCTTGTTTGTAAGTTATAGCAACTTGTACTTTAAATATGTAAGAGTACATCAATTATAGTATTACATCAGTTCACAAAAGGAGAATTTATCATATACACTACAGTACGCACTGAAGAGTTTAAATTATGTCCGTTGTATTTTATAAATTGGTTACTAACAAGAGCATTACGTAGGAGTTATTCTATTTTAGATTAAGGATATGAAATTCAATGAAATTGGATTTAACGTCCTACGTTTCTGCACCAAACGGGATAATGAAGGCGGATTTAAGGATATGACACATATTAAAGATACATTATGGGAGAATCGATAAAGAGTTGGCAGTTCTCACTATAATAGTTAAAAACTAGATAACGTAAAGGCAATTTGCTGAAAATTTCATTCAAATTGATCCACTATAAACCGAAAACTAAGCGAATGAAATTTCTGCCTAGCCTCGGTCATCATTAGTAAAGTCAGTACGATAAGCAGCATAGTCTCGATTATCTATTTAATCGTTTAATCGAGAAGGAAAGTTATGCAGTAAATCGGCTCACAATCCACTTAAGATCGCAGGCTAGCGATGCCATCTAGAGTTGATTATGGTCTGGATAAGTTAATTAATGTCTAATCAATAATTTAGATAACATTTCAGCCCTAAAGAAAGACCTGCAATAGACAGCTCTTGCATAATGCATGTTTAATGTAGCATAATCATCCGCCCATTAATTTATCCCACTGTATTTTTTAAAAATCTTTATGATCGATATTATTCTGTATTTTATTGTTGTTTAATTCAAAAAAGGTATTACTAAGTCTATCTTGTATCTTCTTCCCGTGAAACACATCTTTACGCTTTTCCTGGATACCATTTACAGAAGCCACGGTAGCTAAGTGGGAAGATGCTCGCTCTCTATCCTGGAGGTCGCGTGTTCGATCTCTACATTGGCCGGGAACGTTCATCGGGATTTTCCGACGTGGTTTCCCCTTGTCAGTGGTTCAGGGCGGAGGGCCTGACAAGGACAGTGATCTAGTCCCTTGGATGGTACGAAAAACCGAGGTCCCATGTATACATTGGCGTGCACGTAAAAGACCCCTTGGAATTCGATATAAGAGTAGGTCATAGTGCCGCTGCCCGGGCAAAATGTCCCTCATAGCACACGGTATGGCGTATGTCCGTCTTTATTAGCCCAGTCGGAGCAGAACAGTAGGACGTTAAACCCCATTTCATTTCATTTTCATTTCATTTACAGTACATTAAACGGAATGGCTCATTTCTAAAACTTATTATGGTCTGAACCACTCATTATTTCAAATAGTTCCATTGAGTAGTGAGCCCTAACAAGGATACTAGAACCAAGATTACTCATAATTTCAGATTGTTCTATTGAGTAGTTAGTACTAAAGAGTTTCAACTAACAAACTGAATTCTTTCAGATTGTGGTATTTATTTGAAATAAGAAAGGCATATACTGAGATACAATAAAACGCACTACTGATTGAACTGCAAGTGTCGGTGAGACATTAAGCAGCTGAAATGTGATTTTGGCATGATAGTAGCTGAATATTTATCGATGTATGGGCCGAAACGTATGAAGGTCGTTATGGTGTTGAGGTACAATTGATCCAATGTAAGGCTGTCTAGAATGTAATCCGCCAGACCTTCGGCATGTTGCCTAATAATGTGGCGGTCTTCTGGACGCATTGTCAACCTACTATCGACCAGTCTAACGATGGTAGGGTAATGGCACCCAAAATTTCGGACGAGCCTGGGTTCTGGTGCGTTATTTTTGTGCCGGTTTCACCCCAATCTGATTAAAACACAGATCTAATTTCGTTTCGTTTTTATACTTCAAAATTTCGATTTTAGCCTACTTGTCTTTACTACACTTGGATCTGGAAGCGTTGTTATTTAACTTGTGTTCTGCTTGAAATGAGGGGTCAGACAATCAAATGATCTGTCGAATCGAGCGTTTGACCTTATAGCCCAAATTAGCGAATTGCTTCTTCGGGGTTTCCGGGAACGATCATGAAATAAATTCTATTTATATGTTTAGTTGACTAATTTTAATCTGCTTCGTGAAAGTCTGAGTGTTTTGATGTTTTAAAATGATTTTCATTATCGACAGTAATGCACCTTTTTTGTCTGTTCTTAATAGTTTTCGCTGAAATAATACACCTTATCTGGGTTCAAAAGAAACTTGATAGTCGTAATCCAAGTAACATCCCTAATCCAGTCATTCTATTGATCCCTAACATTGGTTCACCATTATAAGTCTGTTTTTTGGCCAAGAGGGTGAGACGCGGTGGTTCAGTGAGTAAAACCAGGAGGTCTAGGGTTCGCACCCGGTGTTGGGCGAAACAGTTCCTCGGGATTTTCCGGCACTGTTTCCACGTGCCATTTGTGCTGGACGGAGAGTCTGGCAAGGTTAATATCCAGTCTTTCGTATGACACGAAAAAAATAGTTCCCGTGTATATATTGACGTGCACGTAAAATAAACATTGACGGTTAGAATTTGAAATAATATTTCCCTAATGCACACTGTATGGTGCCTGTCCGTCTTCATTAGCCCAGTTGGTGCAGAAAGTAGGACGTTAAACCCCATTTTATTCATTCATTGGTCAAGTTGGCTTTAGGTTGCAATTTTAAATTTAACCCACGGTCTAGTATGGATTCTTACAAGAACGGACTGTAATATACTGGGCTGTCATATACATTAACATAAATAGCATCAAACTGTTATACAGTACCTGTATAAATAATCTCTGTCTTTCTATTACAGTTTGAGGAGTAGCTTAATCGAAGGTGATATAGTTACAGTGTTATTGATTTCAACCCCGCATCCAACAATAGCAATCATCAACCAATCAAACAGCTCGTTACAATGATTCCACGGATGTGATTGGTCCTGCAATGAATGCGTCTCGATACCTTCTTATTGGAAGTGATTATTTTGAACCTGTATCTTTAAAAACATGATAGTGGTCAGATAGATAAAGGTGTCAATCAACAGATAGAGAAAACCAAGAGACGCAAACGAGACCAAGATGGCCGATTACAATAAGAATACGACGGAAATTTTAAACATATCTCATATGATTTTCCAAAATCTAAACGAATCAGTGACTTCAAAAAATGTGTCTAATGTTACAGAGGCTGTGTCTAATTTACCGCCGAGTTCAAAAGTTATTTTAATAATAATGTACACATTTATATCAACTGCTGCCATTATTGGGAATTCCATAGCCATAACAATATTTGTCCGCGGTAAACGTTCAAGGACGGAACTTCGTGCTTTTCTTACAAACTTGGCAGTAGCGGATTTAATTATGGCTATATTTTGTATACCGTTTACTTTTTCTTACCAACTTATTGGTGACTGGGTGTTTACACCCCCAATGTGTCCTGTGGTGATATTTTTACAATATGTGGCCGTTACGGCTAGTGTCTTTACTAACATGGCCATAGGAATAGACCGTTTTTACGCCGTCGCCTACCCACTTCGGAAAAGATTAACTACATCGAAATCGAAATTTGTGATAATTGCTATATGGACTTTTGCAGTGGTCATCAATTCCGTGCAGTTACTAATAGGACGCACGCAAGAAGGCCTGGATGGGAAATTACATTGCACTGAATCGTGGCCGGAACCGAAACGAGAATTACGTCAATCCTATTCATTGTTTGTGCTTTTTCTTACATATTTCTTACCCCTGTGCATATTAAGTGTGACTTATTCCATTATTGGAAGAATATTATGGAAACGAAACGTTCCTGGTAACAGTGATGAAACCCGTGATGCCTTACAAATTAAATCGAAACGCAAGGTAAGAATGGCTTTTATAATTAATTTGTGATTTTAAGGAATGGAAGTAACAGTTTTTCTTTTTAGAGAGAGAGAGAGAGAGAGAGAGAGAGATTGGTTTAACGTCCACTCAACACAAACTTGGTCACTTCGGGACTAACACATGGTTTAATTTTATTTCAATAATTCGCTTGCGCGTAGGGGTCTTTAGCAGTGGGAGGAAACCGGAGGGCCCGGAGAAAACCCATGTGATTGGACATGCGACCCTGCGTCTTGTCACGTACAACCGGGGAATCGAAACCCCACCAGTTAACTCAATGACAGACCTTATAATACAGCGCGCACGTGCTAACCATTCGGTCACCCGCTTATTTCATATAAGACAGGAGCAATTGTCTTACCATCGTATCCACGGCGGCCCAATTAGCATGGTCGGGTTCAATCTAGGTGTTCCTAGGGATGTTCTGTTCTGGTTTCTCATTGTCAGTCGTGGGGGACGGAGGGCTCGCGAAGAAAATCCTCTAGTTGTTTCGACAGCACGAAAACCTGACGCCCACCCCTTTAGTGGCTGGCGTGTACGTAAACAAAACCATGACAACTGTTGGAGTATGCAGAAAAGCCCCTGCCCGGACAAACTGTCAATCATAGTACTATTGGTTTAGAAGAGTAGCACGTTAAACCCTTTTTTCATGTTCCCAAAGTATGCAAAATAGCCAAATACAATGTTCGGTAATGCCACCCACAATAGAATCTTATATTGATTTTGAAACTAAAGTGTAGTTATCTGTAATATAATTTATTCAAAATCAAGTCTAAAATGTAGAGTTTTCATTGTCTGTTTGTTTACCTGTTTGTGCACTGATGTTCATTTAGAGAGGTGGAATAAAATTCAGTTATTTGTCATAAGACGCTATGAGGTTCGTAATTTGAAATTGCACCAACAGCGAAAAGATTGTCTGGTAATATTTTAACCTCATACTTCATTTTAAAACTGTACTTTATAAAGACGTGACGATAATTCAGTCCCAGAAAATCTCCGTGGAAATACAGCAGATGTTGAAATTTTACAGATCAATCTTTAGGCATCAATTTGCTTTCGCCACAGGAACGATTGCTGTATCTTGCTAATCTGTAATAACTAGTTAGTGTATGGAAAAGCATACGTCCCCATAGTGCCATATCAGCATGACCCGAATTTGCGATTGTGCGTCAAAGAGATTATTTTAACTACAGTATTTAGGATTAGTGACAGGGTTGAGGCAACGTTTTTTTTAACCCTTCGTATAAGAGAGAGAGAGAAATGTGGTTTAACGTCCACTCGACACAAACCAGGTCATTTCGGGAGTAACATTTGGTTTAATTTTATTTCAATAATTCGCTTGCGCGTAGGGGTCTTTAGCAGTGGGAGGAAACCGGAGGACCCGGAGAAAACCCTTGAGGTTGGACAGGCGACCGTACTCCTTGTCACGTACAACCGGGGATTCGAAACCACGCCAGTTGACTCAATGACCGGCCTTATGATACAGCGCGCACGTGCTAACCATTGCCCCCCCCCCCTTTGTATAAGAAGCAAGCAGAAGGGATGTATGGTAGCTTCCATGCGTTACGGTTAGGGTTAGGTTAGGTTATCGATGTTTCAAAAGTATTTACGAGGTAATCTTTATTCGTAAACATTGTGGTTATGAATAAACCTTTCCAAATAAAAAAAGTGTGTTTTGTACAACAATTACATACTACCAATTTCAAATATTATTATCTGTATGATAAAATTTGTCCGCGATAAACGTTCAAGGGCGGAACTTCGTGCTTTTCTTACAAACTTGGCAGTAGCGGATTTAGTTATGGCTTAATAAATGCCGGAAGACCTGCTATCGCGGTGAAAACATTAGTATAAAAATGTACTTTTATTTTGCTATCTTTAATTTCAATTATTTATTACCAAAGAGCAGCATTAATTAACTATTCTAATATATATATAAAATGTGAAACTGCTTGTATTCGTATTTATTTGTTATCGTTCTAGCTGAACGTTACTAGTTCATAATTAATCATTTCTATTATTGTTTAGTGAATAGAAAGGATTCGTCATAAATAATAGAATAATATACAACCATAAACAATCGTATATTGCCGAAAGCCTACATCTATACGACAATAAAAACAGTAATTGTTGTAAACTTTGTATTGTTGTGTTTCTTCGTTGATTTCTAACTTTAGTAACTCTCCAGTGTCTTATAAAGTTCAAAACGATTAATTCTACTATGAAACCAGTAAAAAAGTTCGTGAAATCTGGCAATATCCCTTTAAGAAGTATCATTCTCAGTGGCACTGCCATGGATTTATTACTAAATTTAATCAATTTAATCAATTTCAAGTCGCGTTTACATTGACCGGATTGTAACAATTCGTGTTTTTAAAAGATAAATGATAGAAGATGCTTTCTTCTATCATACCACTTGTTCATTTTCTAAATGATAATATTGTTATAACATGAATTATTCTAAGTCAGGATAACCCCGTCAAAACACATAATGTTATCTAATCATCGATTAAATAATTGATTGTTACATGCAGTATTATTGAACTAAAATTATGTCCTTATTGCTATAAGGAAGCCATATATGCTACAGTATTTTCTTTGAATGGCATTTAGTAATTGGAACATAATCAAAAACACATTTTTATGGAATAACAATTACTATGGTTTATTTCACTGCGACGTTTCAAGCATGATAACGACTTGTGAAACCTTGTTGAAACATCGCAGTGAATGATAACGACTTGTGAAACCTTGTTGAAACGTCGCAGTGAATGATAACGACTTGTGAAACCTTGATGAAACGTCGCAGTGAAATAAACCATAGTAATTGTTATTCCATAAAAGTGTGTTTTTAATGCTACAGTATTATTGAGTGTACTCTTATATTACACCCTGCTTCCCATTTGAGGAATTCTCATGTCGTAACTAACAAACTTATGAATTATTAGTCACGGATAATGTTGCCATCTTGGATTGACACGCAGTGGGTTTACACAAAAAGATATTTTATTATCTCATTTCTGTCTCTCTTTTTTTTTCTCTTGAATGGTTTTATGATTATTTTATCGCATTATATAAAATATGGGACCCATTTACGATTGGTAATAAATTGTTCTAAATTATTTAATTGTAGCTGGAGGGGGTATAATTATGTTCTGGTTGCATTGCAGTTTGAACAGCCCTGGATTCAACAGGGTACCAGTTGTTTGAAGTGGGTATACGTATACAAATTAAAAGCAACACTGCACAGAAAGAATCTAAATAATCTGAAAGTTTCAACTCAAAATAATGAGCTGGTCAGAAATCCTCGCCTGATTTGCTGAACGGGGTTACGCCATGCATTTGAAAAATACTATATTATTCAGCTGTATGTGTGACGTGGTAATCGCGACGATCCCTTCCACTATAACCCAGGAAGGTATGTAAATATGCATATCCAGACACTTGGAAATAGCGTGGAATTTAAGAACTTGCCGCCAACCACATGAGGAAATTGACAGTTTAGATTTTTACGAAAAGGTACCAAGCATAAAGCTTCACATTCTTGTATAGGACTAGGGTAATGGTGTTTTTATACACTGAAATATATATGGGATGATTCCTTTAATAGTGAAAGTATCCTTGGTTTGAGTATAAATTACTACAAGAATGCTTGAATCGACGGTCCACAGCCCACAGTCGTGTGCTTCACCACAGCTCCACTTGACATAAATTAACCTGAATTGGGACAATCTTGACCTTTACTATTCGATCCCCAGTAGCAATGACCCATATCCATAACCCTTCATACAAAGTCCATTTTGTGTTGATCTCGTAGTCATAGCGAAAGGGATAAATTTCAATTTCATTACTTATATAATGAGTTCTACAAACGTCAAAGGTGGGTTATTATTTCATCATATATGTCCATAAATCATTACAGATTATACGTAGTGGTCAGATTAGATCTTGTCGTAATCTATTTGTGTTTATAATTCGGGTAAGACACATTCATCAAAATAATCAACTGATAAACTTTGTTTGAAGTAAAGCGGTTTGATTTTCGGAGATATAAAGTTTGTAACATCCTGCTTTTTTGCACCTACATGGATAATGAAGACGGTCATATGGCAGACGGTGTGCTATGAGGGAATTCCAACTACAAAGGGTTACGTGCACGACAATGTGTACGCGGGATCTCGGTTTGTCTCCCCATCCGAACAACTGGGCGCAGTCCCGAAGACGTTCGTGGCCAACGCCGGGGTCGAACCTGGGATCTGCAGGGTATTTTGCATCAGGCTTATATCACAATAAAAAAATCGGACACATTTAACAAAATGTCGCTATGTATCTATTTACTCACGAATCATCTAACCACTGTTGGTTGTCATTTCTGGTGTTAAATTAATGGATATACATCAACAAAATATCGTGTTCAACGCGTAAATGCCGTAATGGACGTCAAAATAATTCCTGTTTTTCTACAAAAGAAACTACACGTATCATTACATCTATGACGTAAACGATTGACACTCGAAATAACCGACACTGTTAACCACAGCTTACATGGGTTTTTGTTAGGTATAATCTGAGCTAAGGTGGTTAAAGAAAATCGACGTCTAGTTAATGACGTATACGATGTTGTTGGTCGAGCTTCTATCCATCAATGTCGATGGCTGAAAGTTAGACACGGTAATCACAGATGAAAAACAATAATAGCTTTTGAATGTGGTTTATTTAAATCTTCGTTAACTCGTAAAGTGTTGGAAGAAGTAAACCTAGTAAATGTCACGTTATTCCTTAAAGGACCAATCCTAGGTTCATTTTTTGCAGTGGGCAGAAGTCTGTCCCGTCAAACACCAATATAGGTAAAGGTATGGATTACATGTAAACTATTTAGACCGTCGAAAATGATCGTTAGGCTTAAATAACGGGGGTTGCATAGCACATTTAAAGAACTTCGTTATTCAAATATTCAACTTGATTATCGAGTTCGAGTGAGG